TTAGTGTTCATCCTTGATACCGTGGTTGTTGGAGTTTTTTCGTCCAGAGCCTATAAACCTTATAAATGCGGCACACCAACAGGCATGAAAGTTAACTTGTGTTTCAGTAAAGTTTTGTATATAAATTAAGTTTGATTTTTTCAATTGTTTCAAACTATTTCTGCAGTTTGAATTTGGCATTGTGGTGTTGCTTTTGTCTCCTGTCATATGTTCAATACTGGCGTTCCTTCGGTCTCTTCAACTGGAAGAGCTAGCCATGACTTCGAAGCCACGCAACGTATTTTTCCTTTCAATCCCTCCTCATCATGCTTTTATAAAATTTTCTACATTTTGTGTTGTCTCTTTCTTATTTTTTTGGCTTCCTATTTGTGTATTTATGTGACAACCAAAGTTGGTAAACCATTGTTCATTCTATTTACATGTCCAGAACATTTAATTCAAAATCGTTATCAAGATGGATGCTATGATATCCAAAATGGCATTGTGTAATAGTTTACTTTTTCATGAATACTTAGCTTTTTCCATTAGGATTCATGCTTACTGCTTCACTTCAAGTCTATTGTCTCTCCGTACCTCAAGTGACAAATGAATTTAGGATGTAGAGAGTTTTTATTTAGGCCAAAGTGTTTCACAAAAATGAATTGATTTTATGTAGCGAGAAGTATTTTCATTTATGTTTTTTTCTAAAAAATAGTCTTTTTTTGATTGCCATTATTATATTGTTGTTTGTTTGTTCACTACTCATAGTACACCAGGCTTTTTTAAAAAAAAATTATAGGTACCACTCAAAAATTGGAACATAGGAAGTTAAATTTGTCCAATAAAGATTAAATTTACAAATCAAATTGGGACGTAGGTAATATTATTTTTTAATATGAAAGATGAAAATCTTTCAAAATAACTTGTACTTCCTATGTGCTCAGTTCTCAATTTTTTTTAGGTTTTTTAATGTTATATGAGAATTAAATGTTATCATTTCGGAAGAATATTTTCACATAAGTTCATTTTAATCAATTCATAAATAAATTGGTTAAACAAAATAATTATTTGTTTACAAATTAATTTGGGTTGCAGTGAGTCTTTATTTGTCAAATGATAAATTAAAATGATTCAAAATGACTTCCATTTACCATGTGTTCAATTTTCATGATTTTTTAGTTTTTTGACACTATAATTTTTAAAATAATTTCATAAGAATGAAACCTTTCCACTTAGGAAGAAGTGTTTTAATTTAAGTTGACAATGTTTTTATGATTGACAGAAATATTGGTTGGTTGTTTTCATAATTAAAAATAATTAATTTTTTTAAAACATAATATGTACAACTAAAAACTTGGGACGTAGAGAATTTTTTTCCTAAAAGAATGAGTTTACTAATCAAATTGAGATGTAGGGAGCTTTTATTTAGGCAGGAGTGTTCTATAAAGAATGAAATAATTTCATTAAGCAAAACGTGTTGTCATTTAACTTCATTTTAATTAGTCTTTTTGGGGTTACCATAAATTTAGATTATTTTAATTTTATCTATTTCTCATAGAAAAGAGACTTTTTAAATAAAAATTATATGTAAGAGTCAAGAATTGAGACGTAGGGAAATGAAAATTTATCCATAGATGAATCATCTTAAAAATTAAAATGGGACGTGAGAAGTCTTAATTTGTTATATGAAAAAAGAAAATCCTTTAATGGTATGTTTGGGAACATCGATTTGGATTTCAAATCTGGATTTAGCTCAAATTCCATGTTTGGGAAACTTAAAACTTTTGAATTTGGATTTGAGTTAAATTCTTCACATTCATAACATAAAGGATTTTCTTTTTTCATATAACAAACATTAGAACATTAGAATGTTCATTCTAATGTTGTTGAAAAGAACAACATTAGAACATCATTATTAGAGACATAATTTACTTATAATGAGTGGGGTTAAAAAAATATAGACTAGAAAATTAATAAGTCACATATAATTTTGTTCTTCATTGTGTAAATTCTTGTCTTAAAAACTCATTATACTTTTAAACATTGCATTTTTTGTATTATCAAGTCATACTTGATAGTGTCTAATTTAAAACTCCAATTTTGGTCTTCAAACATTATGCTCATGGTTCATCCATGATTATTTCAAAACTTTTAATCTTCCACAAAACATACATATGAAAACACACTACTTCATTGTTGGGATTAGAAAAAGATGTACAATTGGAAATTTCACTATGCTAACATTATTCACTCTAATACTTTAATTTTATACAATATTTTGTTAATATTGTATAAAATTAAAACCCATCATGCTGACATGGACATTATTGGATATGTATGAAATCTGATATCAAAGTCATTAGATTACCTTATTATTAATTTAGAATATATCAACCATGTCGATCAACTTTAAATGTCTTATGCACCTTAATGTTATTCCCAACATTTTTAGAATTATTGTTAAGTAAACCTTGATCGGGCACTACAATCCGTGCAACGCGCGTAAATATGCTAGTGTGTGTGTGTGTGTGTGTGTGTGTGTATATATATATATATATATATATATATAACAAGCAACTAGTTATTTTCCAGACTGACGTAGCTCCTATTTATAGCCTCTCCACCAGCAAAGTCGAAGAGTTTCCACCTCTGCCACAGAAAATTCTTAGCCCTTTTGCTCCCACCTTTGTCCCCGCTGTATACTCATACGCTGCTAATTTCCCTAAGGAACAAGTATCCGAAAACATACACATGAAAACCAAGGATGTGAGTCCAGTGCATCAGCTCCAATAAATCAGCAGATGCTTGACTTGAATTTGACACTTTCTTTCCAGGAAAAGTTGAATGATCCCAGAATTACATCGATGTTAAAGAGGAAGGCAAGACAAGGAGATCTTGAACTTAGTGTTCATCCTTGATACCGTGGTTGTTGGAGTTTTTTCGTCCAGAGCCTATAAACCTTATAAATGCGGCACACCAACAGGCATGAAAGTTAACTTGTGTTTCAGTAAAGTTTTGTATATAAATTAAGTTTGATTTTTT